GCGGTTGTTGAGACGCTCTATCCATGGAAAATAGGATGCTGTTGTCAGAAGTCAATGACAACGACTTTGGGGAAAAAAGCATACTGGAGTGTCTGTATTGGATTTTAAGTTAGTGGACAAGCAGATCTGTACCTCTTACCGCTTACTAATTCCCCCTGATTTGAGAACTGGCAAGTCCTCAGTGACAAGTGGGGCACCTTGTGTAGTATGGAGAAGGTGCCGGGTTCATCACAGGGGCCGTGGTTAGATATCCTTAGGAAATAGGTGTGTGTGCCTGTCTCTGACAAACCCTCCCTCTGCTGCCTTATATGCGCAGTCATCAACACTTCTTTGCCTGATGCATTTGGAAGTGTGTGTTTTTAAAGGAAAACCACAACTTAGTCAAATTTCACACAATACTTAGGTAAAACGTATGCTTTTGGACGGAGGATTTTCAAAATAACTTGAAATAATGAGTGGCCAGGTTAGCACTGCTCTGAGGTAGGCTGGATTTGACAGAAAGCATTGATTTCCCCCAACTTTTTAAAAGTCTGAAGTTCTTGGTTAAGCATCCAAAATGGTTGTGTAGACTATACCGTTGCATAACTATTTCAAAAATTTAACTTTTGAATTGCACTTATTTAAGGAGATACTCAGAGGTCACTAACCTTTAAGAATAAAACCTACTGCCTTGAAACAAAATTAAACTTTTATAATTGAATGTATATTCTTTAAAGTAGTTGGGGTTTTTTGCTGTGTATACTGTTTCTTGAATTTCACTTAGTAAGGACAATGAACATACTCCATGAAATTAAATAATGAAAACATTTTTGCCTGATTAGATTTCATAGACTTTAGTAGCCTAAATTTTGAGCTTTATATCATGTTAGAGGAATGCCTTTTAGTGTTGTGGTGGCTCATGTTTACATATTTCTGCTGTAACCAGTGCTTGAGATTAGAGACTATCTTGTACTGGCTTTAAGTCTCTCTCCACCTAGCTAGAGTCTGGCTTCCAGATGTGCCCTCTCTGCACTATAGTGGTTTTTTTTTTTCTGTACAAAAATAATGTCTCCAGTTATGACCATCAGGAGAAAGGTGTTCCCTGTACCAAAGGAACTTAACTTGAACATACATAGAAGCAAATGTTTGCTACAAAGGGTACTGAAGTAGAGATCTGAGTTATAAATGTTTTGAGAAGTAGTAATTAGTTTATTAGCCTTCATTCTTTTCTTTCTTCTGGTACCTGAATGTTGTCAGTTCAGTCTTAATGGCTCAGTTCTGCTGGTAAGAGCAGCAGTGGTGAGGGAAAGGTTGTGGGAAGCACAAGTGGTCTCACGCATGGAGCTGGCCTGCCTTAGTGTTACTGTGCAGTCTTTGCTGCTCACTGGCACCAACTTTTGCTCTATCAATCAATTAAGAATTGCACTCTGCTGGGGAGAAACCCGGTGTTGGACTGCTGTTTACCAACGAGGCGGGGAACTAGCCAGCATTACCGCATTAGAGATGAAGATACAATTTTCTACAGAAGAGCTGAGCTTTTGTATATTTAATAAATACAGTTTTCAGAAGGTTGGTCTGTAAGCTTCTTTATTTATTACATTGAAGTAGTGCACGTTTCACGTCCAGGAACAGTGTTCGGTACGTGGAGCGTTAGTTTGTAGCATCCACATGAACTAGTTTTCTATTGTTGGTTGAGATAAAGGTGCAGTTGGGTTTTGTCTATCCTGCAAATGTTTCCTGCTTTTGGGAAGCAAGTTCCTAGTAACAGCACAGCTGCTACCTGGTGTGTGTTCTGTGTGATGAAGGCTGATCCCAGCCCACAGGGTTTTACTCCCCGTTACTGACTGCCTAATAGCAACTTCCTTGTGTCCCTAAGGTTTGAAAAATAAGGTGGTTCAAGCTGACTGGATACAGCCTCTTGCACTTTTAAAGACGGGGTGGGGGTTACCTACGCGTTCCAATAGCTTAAAATACCTCTGCCTTATTAAATAGTGTGTGCGCAGGAACGATGCAAAATAAAAGTCAGACTCTGACGGACAAGAACTCACATTTCCCAGGCCAGGCGTGCTGGTGGAGCCAAGGCTCGCTCGCGTTGCACGTACGCAGCGTCGCTGCAGAAACCACTGCAGCGGTGTTTCCCTTGCTTCCTTACCCGGATCTGACCGAACATGTACCTGACCTGTCAGTCGCCTTCCCTTTCTGCTCTGGTCTCCCTTAAAGCAGATTGACTCTTTCATCTTTTGTATGCGTGGGTTAGGAGAGCTGGCTGCCTGCGGAGCCGAGGAGGAGGAGGGAGGATGCCTCGGGAGATGTCGCTGTCTCTTTCCTTGCTGACTATAGATAGTCACTAAACCCTTGACTTCGTGTCTCTGGGCCGTGTCCCAGGTTAGGCAGCACGGAGGGGCTTTGGTTCAGCTGGTACCAGCTCCCATTTTAAGGTGATGAAAACTTACCGATACCCAGCAGGAGCCAGACGTGGGCTCTCACATTTGAAGTGCTCACCCCGGGGTGCCTCCGGCGTATCGGCACGACGGCACCCAGAAGGAACTATGTCCTCTGTGCCCTTTGCAGTTTTACCAGTTCATGCAAGATATTGAGGATTTCTCTTGAAGCCTTACATACAGGTAGTATCTGCTCCCCAAGCCTCCAACTTAGGTTGCTTTTTTTTCCAGTTTATTTAGAATTCAGTAGCAAAACCTACAAACTCAGCATGAAGACCCCTGACATTAAAACAATTCAGAAGCAGCCAGCTCGGGGATATCCCGGGACCTGATTTGTGACTTCTGGCAATACGACAGCGTGCTCGTATCCTTGCATGGAAGTCCTTCCAGGGAGCTGCTTACAGAACAATGAGCTGGCAACAGGGGGGGTGTAACAGACAACATGACTCTTTTTCCATACTTTATTTTGTTCTACAAATACAGTACAAAAATAGATTTTTTTTCTGAAGATCATTAAATGTAAGACATTTTCTTGCATTTCAATCTTTCCTCTGTGACAATGTCCAGCAATGACCAGACTCTATTCCTCTCTATTATTTGAATTGTCAGTGTAATTTATTTATAAAAATACTGAAAAAAAAATAAAAATCAGCATTTCTATGACAAAACTGCAGGAAAAGCTTGTGTAGATTTAACATTCCTCTCTCACCAGTTTTTAAATGCTTAGGTATTGGTAACGTTTATAAGAGCTCCCTGGATTCAGTGAATTTTCTTTCCAACAACGGCACTCGGCCAGCTTTACATGTTTTGCTCCAGAACATATCCACACTATCATGACAAAACAAAACTGAAACAAGTATGTATATCATGCAAATTACTTAAGAGACATATTTAACCTTAAGTTTGAAATAAGGACAGGGCTTCTGCCTTCTAATGCACAAGATTTCTGAAAGTAAAGGAAAATTATAGGCTGAAAAGCCAAAACTGAGTTTTCATAGGAGGCAGGTATTCTTTAGAAAGTAAATTTTCAGATTCCCCCAAATCTTGATTGCACGTTTCTTTACACCTTAGAGGAAGTATTTCCCCTTCTGTGATGATGAGGCAGTAAGACCACAACTCTACCTCACCAGATTTGGATAAGGTATGAATCGAAGAGGGCAGTAGTAGTCCTTTGGCCAGTTCACCACAGACTATTAAACGGCAGCTGCATGCTTTAGATCACCTTTGCATCATCTTTAGATCTAAAGCTTTCTTGCTTTTCTGAGCAAGCAGGAAAAAAAGGGAAGGGAGAAAAATGGGACAAGACAGTGCTAAGGAAAGGAATGCCTCAGAAAACAGAATTAGTAGTGCTGAGTGATAGAAAAGAGAGCAAAAAACCCAAAAGCACAAAGTGATCTCAGAAGGTACAACTGCACATCTGCTTCTAAGTCCAAGGATAAGAGGATGAACCTAATGACCTGTAGCAGCAACAGAAACTTGACACTGAATTAGGTTGGTCTCTGATAGCCCAGAAACACAAGTGCACAGGAAGACTAAGTCTGTAACCAGCAAAGGCTCCTTTCACTGTGACTACAGTTCTTGTATCTGGAAACGGCAAAGAAAAGCTTGTTCTGATCACAGTCTCTCAAAAGGGAACAACTGCGCTGCTTCTCCTTTCCTTTCTCGCTTGCTCTTTCTGGTTGTCTTTTCTTCTTTTATTTTCTCTAACTGGCGATTCTGGGGCCAGGAAATAGCCGTGCTCCCTACTGCAGTCTCTGAACTCGGACCTCCTTCTTCATCAGCAGAGAATCCCGCTCCTTTCTCTGCCTCAGGTGCTGATGGCTCAGTCTGGAAAAAACAGGTGTGAAAATCAGAACGTTGCTCTAGATGTCACTGGTAACCACCCCCTTCTAAAAGGGCTTGTCTTCCGTCACAGTGACACTTCATGCCGTTACAAAAGCTGATTGCTCTGGTTTGGGCTTCTCATCCAAAGCAGTGTGTTTCTATTCCTGGATGTCAAACATTCTTTCAACACAAGCAAAACATTTTGACAATGGAAAAATTAAAAATAAACTTGCTTTGAAAAGATCATGCTTTTCACCTTTCTCAGTGGGGAAACAATTAAGAACTAAACCATCTGACTTTGTAACAAAAATCAGTTCACTCTCATCCTGTTAGCTACAGGCTCGGCTTGGAGGAATAAATCTAGGAAGGGGGTATGTCAAAACAGACAATAATACCGAACAAATGACGCTTCAGAAAACACTAATCTCTTGTTAAACAATAATGAATCTTTCATGGACATGACTGCATCGAATTTCTGGTGTAGTTTTTTTTACTAGTGCTAGCCACATGCTAACAACAGGAAAGAAGATTTTTGACCAACCACACTCTGGAAGTTCTATGCCCCACAGCTGGAAACATAACACATTGGGAAGACTGGGGAAAAATCTCTTCATGGAAAAACATCATCCTGAAAAAGAAATCACTAATAGAAATGCAAATACCTTGACGGAGTAGCGTTGCTTCAGTCTCTCTCTGATGAGAAGTCCTTTTGTCAGCAGCTTCCAATTCCCCAGAGCTCTCTTCTCACGCTTCTGTGTGGGATAGTTATTAAAAAGAGAAAAATTTCCTATTGTAACTTTCAATGTATTTATGCCCACAGAAAATGGAAGTTTGAAGATTTTAAACTACTATTAAAAAAAGCCATACCAACTTAAATGTGTAACATTAAAAAATTATAAGCCAGTAGGATTCTTAAGAATAAAATGTATTGGTGTCCAATTATCTGCTAAATACATGAATTACTGCCACTTTCCAGTGTGCACCCTGACTGTATAAATTACACCAGAACCACCTCCAAAACTTTAGCGTCAAATGTGGATCCCTCATTTTCGTTCCCCAGCAGCCACAGAAAATTACTGCAGAGTATACACTATTTCAGATATTGCTACACACCTGTATTGCATCCCACTGCAGTGTGGACATTGAGCCCAAAATGGGGCATTTGGGGGACACAACCAGCCCCTCACAATAAGGAAGCTGCAAAAAGAATTCTCACCTCCTTCTCCTTCTTTTCTATTTCTGTTTGTTCATTCTCCCAGGCAGCAATGAGGACCTCTTTGTACTCCTCGCAGACAACGTAGCCATCAGTACTAGGAAGGAGAACACAATCCTCTGTCAGCTACTAGAATTAAAAAGAAAGGGAGCAGATGCCTGCTGACCCAGTCAAACCGAAAGCTACTGAATATTGACAGGTCTGTCTGTCTCATAGGATCTAAGTGTGTAACTCATCACATGTAGCCCTTAACACAGGGTATACAGCTTCTGCAGGACATCGAAATCTGTCAGCTGCAACAAAGCAGCTTTACGTACACTGGGTGCGAGTAGCCGCCATGAAAGTCAAATCCAGTGATGGCCTGAGCACAGTCAATGTCCAACTTCCGCGCCAATCTGTTTAGATTTGGGAGTCTCAGCTGCACACAGCCAACGGGTAACATGGATGGCAGGAAGAGATAGACGTTTCCATATTCATTCCGAGGAACCTGTTATTGCAAAATTAAAGAGAAACGGTGACACTCCTGCTCTCTGGAGAGAAGTGAAAATCCCTGCCGCAACTCAGGGACTCCCTTCCTTCTGACCTGCCACCTTCCACTCCACTATTCAATTAACATCCACATGACAAAGCACAAGCCCAGATTTTAGCACCATGGTTATCTCCTAGCTACCTTCTCTGCCCGGGCCTTGGTACTCAGGCTGTAACGCAGAGAATTAGCAAAACAAACATGGGCTAGGAAAATTAGATCAATAAAATTAGGAAGTTAGCAGTCTGCACTGCTAGCGCTCGTTATGTGTACTCAAAAAAGAAAGGCCTCAGTGAAGTTTTGACCATTTCCTCCTGGTTACAGTAACCTCTGAACTCTTAATCCTGAATCCAGGTGTTACTGACTGACCTCCCCTCTGAAACATGCAGCTTCTGGAAAAATAAAGCCCAGAGCTCCATACAAAACACTTCCTTTAACACCAGCCCTCTGCTTTCCTACCTACCTTTCCATCCACCGCTATAGGTGGCTGATACTCCTCTGTCTGCCAGCGACCGAACAGTGCCAGGTCCTCTCTGTCCCGGTTTGCAGGCTCTGCAAGGCGTGCCTTCCTCGCCTGGTTGGAAAATCCTTTCACCATCTGTGCAAATACAATGACCAAGCCTGTACCACCACCACAGCAAGCTGCCAGTGATCTCACACTTTCCTAGGACATCAAAGGAGAAGGCTCTGGGAGAGAAGAAATGCCTATTTCCTAGCTTCAGTATCCATTGCTTACAAATGATAACCCACAGCACCTGTATGCAACCGGGAGCCAGGTCCTGCCGTTCATATAAAATGCTAGGATGCCCTGGGAGATGAAAAGGGTGCAGTTCTGCTAGATACCCTTGGGGTGGGAAGAAGAGACAGCCGGGCTTTGGGTAGTATGGAGGAACTATAGGCACAGTAAGTGGACAGATTCACAGTGCAGCTATCACAAGACATGCAAGCAAGAAACCTACATCTGCTGACAGAGAGAAGGCAAAAACCAAACCAGAATTGAGCTTGAACTTTACAGAGCAGCCATGTTGCACAGGAGGAAGTCAAACCCTCTCACCTTGTAAGGCACTTCTCCAATCCTCACCACTCGAGCTTGCTTCAGCCAAGTGTCCTTGGAGTGCAGCGTGTGTACACAGTCTCTAAAAAGGCCAGAAGGAAGCAACCAGAAGAGTTTTGAAGTCACTCCGTGAGAGACTTCCAAACTGTTACTCACATTTAGGAATGGTAAAAAAGCTGTATCCAAGTGATATGTAAATGCTGTTTGAGCAGCTAAATGCCTCACCCAGTCTATACACGTGGCCTGAGACTACTGCTGACACCATCATGGTCTTCACACAAATTAGCTCTTAAATTTGTTACTAAGCTCACAGTCACATGGATGACTCACCTGGAGTAGACAGCCTCTCCCCTGCAGTACCCTAGGACAGCAGCTGACTCAGGATAGATTGCCTGGTATTTCAAGAGGTGCCTCTTCAGTGCATAAAGAGGGTGGTTTTTGTACTCTCCAATTGCTGTTGGTAGAGGTTGATCTTGAAGCTTAACTTGAAACTGTAGGAATTACACAAAGAAGAGTGATTTCACAACTCTTCTTGCACCACCCTTTGTAAGAAAATAAGACTGACTACAGTATGGATCAAAGGAAAAAACCACCAGAAACTCAATCAGATGAGCCCACAGACCAAAGCGTTCTTGTTGCAAATAGGTACTTAGATGTGTACCCAGATCTATGTATTTTTATTAGACTCTCTCTGAGAAGGGTAATGCAAAAAGGTACAGAAACCATGTTAGTAAGTTTCCAGCACGGGCTGTTCAACACTTTTGCTATGCAAATTTCTCTGAACAGCCTCCATTTGATATTATATTGATCTATCATTGTATACTCCCTTTAGAACATGCTCAAACTGAACATTTCAAGCTCAAATACAAACTACCTTCCTCATGGAAAGATTCCTAATGATTTCTGCCTGAATGAGAATGCAAGGACTGGCCTCCTAGCACTAAATGTCCTCAATAACCTATCGCCATTTACCTCATTCTCCTCCTTTTTGTCTCTTTCCACACAGGGACTTTTATATGGCTGCAGCGTGTCTTCCCACCACTCAGAATCCACACGGCTCTTCCTTGTTGCGGTCATCCACACCGGGTCATACCTTTGCGTCACATCCCTGACACTCCCATCATTGTCAAACCCCACAATGTAGGAAAGCGGCTTTGTGGCGTACGTGAAGCACAGCTGGGGCTGGCCAACGTTGCCGTGAACACAGTCTACACACACCCACTTGTCCTCGCGTTCAAGGAAAACCTCCAGCCATTGGTCTGTGCCCATCACCTTCCTTACCTCCTGCTGTCCATCATCCTCATCACTAGAAATTATTTTGTTTCTCTTTCTCTGTGCATGAGGCAAGGCTGGAGCTGTACTTTTTGCTGGCTTAGGCTCAGCTCCACGTGAGTTTTTGGAGAGCTTCGATTCTGAAGTCTCTTTTTTTGGGCTTTTTATAGCCGTTACCTTTGCCTTCTGGGAGCCCAGGGAGCTCTTCCGCCTTTTAGTGACAGTTTCAAAATCTTCATCAGAGAGATCACTCTCCTCCTCTGAAACCTCAAAGTCTGAAACACTGCCCTCCTCACTTCCACTCTCTTCTTTGTAACACACTTTGGAAGCCACTCGTCTCCGGCGATCATTCTTGGGCCTGACTGGCACATCTTTTTCCGCTAAACTGCTCTCCTCATTACTAGATTCTTTCTGTTCCTGACTGCCTGTAGTCAAGTTTGACTTGAGTGTCCTTTTGGTCTGAGCAGTTTTGGGTTTCTTTGGCTCCTCATTGTCGTCTTTGCTCTCTGAGGATTTCTCATCCTGCTTGGCTTTTTTGCAGGGGCATTTTTTTGCCGCAGCTTTGGGTGTTGTGGCAGAGCTTTCCCGCCCCTCAGAAGTACCACTGAGAGACTGCCTCTTGGATGAGCCTTTTCCCTGCAAAGAAACAAGGCTAGGTCACTTTTATCACCATGGCTAAGAATATGTTAAAATAAAAAGACTGAAATAAGCACAATGTGCACCCAGACCTAAGGCTGGCAGGCATGGTCAATCCGCATGTCTTAGGGACTTCAAAACTTCAGGCAAATGGCTGAAGAGAGGTGTACTCAAGCAGCAAGTGTTTGCTGTCTAAGTTTTAAAGAAATTTAAAACCACTGAAGCATAAGAAGTCTTTGCTGAACACACAAAATGGGTGGCTTTTTAAAGGAGAAACCTAAAAATTAATGGTTCATGTCTTCTGCACTATGGACAGAACATTGTCATCACCCTGGTTCACACAGTAAGCGATTCACTTCAGGCTGCGACAGCCAGGAAGTTTTTTCAGTCCTACTCTCTGAACCAGTGACCTATTCCTTATTCCACACACCCACCAAAAGCTACCTTTGCTCTTGTCTCCTTGAGAGGAATAGGCTGAAAAGACAGCACAAGGCGACACAGCAGCTGTAATGCTCGCAGAATGATTAAAAATACCTGCAAAAGACAAAATAAAGCACATTTAACCTTTTTTCAAGGTGTATAGAAAAACCCTCTTGAAACACTTTTACAACTGTGGTTCTGTCACAAATCATTTTCATTCCTACCTTTTACCCAGTGCCTGACACAGACAGGTAGCCCTGCTGCTGAAGTATTAAAGCACCACACAGCCTTCTCTGGCTCTTATTTGTGTTACTACTGTGACAGGGGTGCTGCTGTTAACTCATGGAGGAGGAACCAACTCCTAAAGAGGCAAAATGACCCATCCTGCTGGAACAGACGTGGTAAGTCACCCAAGTCCCATCTACCCTATCAGTCTCTCATTCTTGAGGAAAACTGAGCAAGGTGACTCTAAATCCTGCCTCCCAAAGGTGGCCAAAGCCAACCACATACTGTCAGCTGAACCCAGCAAGAACACCAGCCATTCAGAGAAAGTCATTACAGTCACAACTGAGCACCCAAGAGCTGTGATCTGGCAACTGCCTTCCTGCATGGGACTCAGTTGAAGCTGCCTCTGCAAGGCTTGCTTTGTCTTTTCCTCCTCTCTCAGGAAGTGACATCTCTGCATTCCCACAGCAAGGCTGCAAAGCACAACAACTGCCTCCTGCTTTGCAGCAGAGAAGCTGCAACATCCCACTTTATCAGCAACACAGCAGAGCTGCAAGCCATGCACCTGCTAAGCAGCAGCTCATTTCTGCTCTTTCAAATGTTCCCTGTCAGCTTGATCTCCTGTGCTTCTCCCTCCCTCTGTTGTTTTACCAAAATCTCTGTGACTTGAAGCAACTGACTCCACTTCTTCCCTGAGCCAACTCCACCACAAAATGACTGTAGAGTTGAAGTCCTGTGGAAGCCTTGGCCTCGGGCTGCTTCTAATCAAAGCTCAATCCTTTGACCTTCAGTGATGACTCGCAGTAACAAACTACCAATCTTCAACTCAAACATCTGCAAAGAGTTTCTCTGGCACTCAAATTTTCAGAAGAAACCTATTAAGCTGGCTTGCTCTGATCTGCACTGCTAAAGCACTATAAAGACGCCACAGCATTCATAGGAACACGCAGCTCTATACACTACACATAAAGCCAGCCACAGCAGAACTTGGAGCACAGTGACACCAACCGGAACTAGAGATTCCAGTGAAGCGCAGTTCAAATTGAGTAATTTCATCACAAAAGGACTCCAGATAAAAACACAACAAAAAGAAAAAGCCATGGAATCACCTAAGTCACCAATTTGTTTTCTCCAAAAATCCATCCCTCAAACACCACTTTGTGTGTGCCCTGACAGCACTACAGCACTGATACAGCATCCAAACTCGGCAACCAACCCTGCATTTCCCGGTCACTTACATGAACCAACTCTTCATCATCCCGTGCAGCATAGATGCCAAAGCGCCTCTCCAAGGTCGACTGAAGGGTCTCACCTTTTTCAGTGGAAAGCTCACCATTGAGAGTGAAGGTTCCAACAAACCTGAAATATGAGACATCTAGAGTTTGTGACTGTATTCTTAAACCTCACAGTTCATCCTTTCCTTCTGTAGAAAGGACAGACTCTCGCCCTTGTATTTAAAATCAGAAAAATCACTGAAAACTGGTAATTATATTTACCCCTTTCCCTGGACCCTGGCTCTACGTTCTATGTGATAGCATGATTAGGAGACAGAGTTTTACCATTTCACCAAGTTGGAAAGGTAGAGAAGGTCCACTTGGCCTGCAGGCACTTTTGTGAAGTGGGTGGGGATGATGGACAGACCAATGGCATGGAGATCTGGCTGGCTGCAGATCCTGTTTCTATAGAAACCATTTGCTAATAAACACAAGAGGTGAACCTGAGAGAAAAAAGTTTCTATAGTGAGTTTACAAGAGATTTTCTTCGCTGAAACTGCTGTCCATGGTAAACACGAGGAAGGCTTTACTGCTCCTTTTAACAGAGACAGGCAACAATGAAGCCTCCCAAGCATACACAGGTGGACACAGGGCTGTCTTCAGGCCACCATCAGAAGACAGTAAAGCCTTCAAGTCCCTGTCAGTGTCTCCTGCTCTTCATGACTGACAGTTTAATCCCGACAGAACGAGCAGATACACACTCAATGGAGAAATATACACCCGCCTCACATCTGCTTTGAGTCAGAATTTTACTAACACAGTCACTGATGTTTCTATCTTACAGTTTAGGAAACGCCTAATGAGCATTTGTCAGGACTACAGCCTTTTTATTTTTCTCACTTCTAGCCATGGCCCCACATTATTTGATCAAAATTAAGTTTCTTCTTCATTAGTTCAGACATCTTTATGCTCAGTATTTTCTCTGCCAGGATTCTCTGTGACCAATACCTTATGTGTGTCCTCACGAACCTCCTTGCTGAAACGCTTCATCATTCTCCGAAGATACATCTCAAACTCAGCTTTCCTTTTTTCTCTGCCAAGAGATTACATAAGACACATAAGATTACAAAAGAATTTGATGTTATGGGTTTTCTATGGACCTGCCTTTCTGGATTCCTGAACTGGATCAGGTCACAAAGAGAATCCATCCCAGAGAATCTTCTGTGCACACTTAACAAAAGTTTAGCTACTGGCTACGTGAACAGACACGCAGGATACATATGACTATTAAATTGTGAACTCCATATACCTGACTACTGAGAGCTTGTGCCTATTCAGATGGCTTAAATTCCACCTAACTTTGTGTGCATAGTTTCCTTCCAGACAGCTTTGGACAGCTCCATACTGAACTTATCCACTGTCTGAATTGTTTGACTTTTAGAATACCACTAGCATTCCAGTCAGATTCCTGGAAAAATGGTTTTCTCTTCATTAATGAAGCCTTTGAACTTAGAGGCAATAGATATTCTGGTTGTTCTGTTGTGAAGTGCTGGCCTGGGACAGTGTCCACGCTGTAACAGCATGAGACCTCATCAGGCCTCCAGCCACCACACAAAGAAACCCTTTCCTTGGTATAATGCTCTCAGATGCCGAAGGCATTCATTTGACCCACCTATTCACACCTCAGATATGGTCACATGGAGGCTTCCACCTTAGCTGTCAAGATATTTACAGGAAAACAATGCCATTCACCCACAGCTCGCCTTGAAGCGAGCTACTGCTGCCCTGGTTTGGAAATGTAGGTATTAAAGCACAATGAAGTTACACGCTGTTTTTTCAAGGAAGCTGAAAAGCCTCCATTCCCACCAAATTCCATCAAAGATTTCTAGTAAAACTGTTAGTGTGTAAACTGTTCTCCATCCCATGACCTCGCATCATTCCCACTCAAAGTCTGCACAAAGTTGGGATTTCCATCCAGAATAGAGCAAGTCAGTGACAGTCAAGACTTAGGACATTTTTAACTTCATCCTTTAATGGCTCTTCACTCCCTTCCCTGTTCTTACCTCCTCTCTCTTTTCTTCACCTGCTCTGGGGTTTCAATCTCTATTTCAACAGGATTGCTTGGCAGTGCCACTGCCGGAAGAACAGCAGCTTCTTCTAACTTATCTGTGGCAGGTTCCTGGAGTTCTGGAAAAATAAAATGTTACTAAATGACAAGTAAACATGGAATAGGTGCCCCAGGGAGGTCTGACAATGGGCTAAGAACCTACCTATTCCTTCTCAAGTGTTCAAATAACCTGCAAACAGAACACCCCCAGTAATTACTAGCTCTTGGATCTTCCATAACACTGTGTGTGTTCAGTGATTTCAAATAATGGTGGGATGCCAGTCACCTGCTCTTAATGGCAAGTGATTGTCAGAGGCAAACTCAATCAAGAGAAAGGCAAATGATGCAGATGTGACTTGAAGGGTACATATAGAGCAGCAAATAAAAGACTGATAGCTGTTGACTTTAGAAGGCATAAATCTGCAGCAGCAAAATCAGATTATGATCATCATGATTCTTATCAGAGTTTGATGGCCACCTAATCGAACAGCTCAGTTGGTTTCACTGCGACTCTCCTTTACAAGGAAGTTGCAGTTTTGAATCTTCAAACTGACTCATTCTTCGCTGCTCAATATTAGACAACACAAACAGCTGAGAAAGTGCTTTGTGCATGGTAGCTTAATTTTAACATAAGACAACAAATAGCCAAATTCAAGGCACTACCATCAGGTCAGTAGTTGCCTGGCTTTTTACTACTTTGGAACCATTCTAAAAGCATTGTGAGATATGAGCTTTTAAAGATACAGATATGCAGGAGGCACACCTTAGGCATACATAGAATCATAGAATAGTTTTGGGTTGGAAGGGATCTCTAAAGGCCAACTAGCCCAACCCCCCTGCAGTGTGAACAGGGACATCTTTAGCTGGATCAGGTTGCTCAGAGCCCCGTCCAACCTGGCCTTGAACACTGCCAGGGATTGGGCATCTACTACCTCTCTGGGCAGTCTGTGCCAGTGTTTCACCATGCTCATTGTAAAAAATTTCCTCCTTAAATCTAGCCTAAATCTGCCCCCTTTTAGTTTAAAACCATTACTCCTTGTCCTATAGCAGCATGCCCTGGTAAAAAGTTTGCCCCTATATAACGGGTCTGCATGGCAAGGTTTTGGTA